TTTGACTTGGCAGCTAGACTCTAGGAACTCGGTAGTTGTGACCCCCTTGAATGAGGAGCGCAGGAGAGAGAGCTTTTGTGGTGTTGGTGTACGTACTTTTAGCTTAATGGGAGAAAAGGGAGAGGGCGGCGCGCTATCTAGGCCCTTGCGGGCCCTACCACTCAGCGCAGTCGGAGAAAGAAGCCGGTGTACATGTACGAATAACGGGACAGGGTGGTTTCTCCTCTCTTCTTACTTCTAGCTCTTAGCATGAGCTGCGCCCTGTGTCCGACCCCTTTTGCGCAGCAACACCTTAAACTTTTAGGCCCTCCAAATTCGGGTCGGAGCGTAGCGGAGTGGGGCCCGAGTTTGAAAAGGGCGAAGCGTCCTAGCCTCCAACAACGCCTCCCCGGCGCAGAGGGGCCCCCGGAGGGATGCACAACGCTCAACGGCTCCACGCCACGCCGCTTGCGGCGGTCCTCCTCCCATCTCCGCGCTGATCTGAGGGCCCGTGCGTTATTTTGTGTCCTTGTGTTCGAGAGAGAGAGATTTTTAGCAATACCAAACAACTCTAACACTCACTCACACATCATTCATTTGGGTGGGGCCTGGAGCCCTGCCCCTGGCACTTAGCCCTGTTCACGCGCGCGCGAGACGTGCAGACAGGGTTGCCAGAGCGAATGGCGCGGTTCACGCCTCGCACAACAGAGAGAGAGAGAGAGATGCGCTATGCATGGAGGGACATAAAAAAGAGAGAAAGACAGCCAGCACCCGCGTGTGTTTTTGTGTCCGCCCCCGGCCCCGCCCCTGTGTGTCGGCATGCGCGTGGACGACAACACGAGCCCGCCCGTCGCTTACGGACGGCCGCAAGTCGCGGCCGCAGTGGGGCGACCGATGGTGGCCGGCGGTGCGGTCGAAATGACGACGACGGGCGTCGCCCATGTCGCTCCTGCTGTGATGCGCCGCAACGATGGGGTCGACGCGCTCGGCTTTGTGCTTCTGGAGCGGCAATCGCCCACCGACGCTCGCCGCCTCGCTGGCGTCTATGTCTCGTGCTCCTGGTTGTGTCTGCCGTGGCCACTGCTGTCCTGCCGCAAGTTCTCTGCGCCCGACGAGGACACGCTTCGCGCAGACTGCTGCGGCGGCGGTTGCGGCGGGGAGGAAGCGCCTGTGTACAAGCGCGACATGGACGAAGACGGCTATCCGGGTCCGCCCAACGCCTTCTCCAGCGTCACCGTTGGCGCCGCTCCTTCCACCTTTGAATTTGGTTCATGCAATGGCTTCTGCGCCGGCTCCTCCGACCACACTTGCTACCTCCGCATCTTCTAGCGCGAGTGCGTCGGTACTGTGTGTCATGGAATCAGGGGGCCGCGCGGCGGGCGGGACAAGCCAGAGGCACGGGCGCGCCTGCGGGCGCGGCATTTGCCCACCAAGAAGAGAGGAGACTCTCGGGTTCGGTATCCATAGTCGTGTGAAGTGTAGTGTAATACTGTTAAGCCAGTGTCGTGAAGCAGACACGGTTCAAGAGAGGAAGAGGAACTCTAAAACTTCGCTGATGAAATCCCGGAAGCAGGGGGGGGAGAGAGAGAGGGGGGCGCCCCGGCGCTCCGTCTCTCGCGGGGTGACTCGTCCGCGTCTCGCCGACATACCGCGTGTTATATAACGGCACGTCCGCAGGCCCAAGCGCTAACAGTGGCCAAGGAGCGCAGTGGGGGATGAGTGCACCTGTGAACGGCGCCTGGTGACGACGGTCAGTTCGAAAAAACGAAATGGCAGTCGTCCTGCCCATCCTCGTCTTCTCCCAGTCCCGGTATGTCGAGTGGGGGCCTCCTCGTGGATACAAGCCCGAAGGCTGCTGCGCAACCAGGCGCGACTCGTACGGCATCTACGAGGAGAAGTGGTGACCCTCACCCCACCCTAGCCGCCGCCGCTCTCTCGCCGCTGTGCCGCCCTCACGCAACAGCACCTCTGCAGCTCATTGCTTGCCGCTGCGCTTTTTCACTGCAACTACCATCCCCGGTCGCAGGGAGACGACCGAGTTCGAGTGTCGGCGCCAGTGCGAGCATACGCTTAAATGCCAAGCGTACGAGCACTCGTCGGTGACAATACGCGCGCTGGCCTACACGCCCATCAGCCGCTGCGAGCTGCATTTGGAGCCCATCGACCACGTCGTCCCCTCGATGAATCCCTCGGTGTGCTACATCAAGCTGTCCTCGGCTCCGCCTCCCGCGACTCGACCAATTCCCTCACCGTCACCCGCTCCTCCGCCCCCCGCGAGACTGGCCCCCCGCCCTGGCCCACCCGCCCCGCCGCCGCCGGTCCCGCCGGCGCTGGCCGCGCTGCGGGCCTATCCGGATCGGCTGGCGGCGGCCAAGATGGACGCGTGGATGGCTGAGGCTGTCGTGGCAAAGGCGGAGATTGCGCTTGCGGCGGCGCCCGTGGGCGATCCCGCGGCGGTCAAGCTGGCGACGGAGATGGTGGCGGCAGCGGAGACCGCAGAGGCGGCGGCGGCGCAGGCGGCGACGGACTTGGAGGGGCAGGCCATGGCCTTGGCAGTGGCGGCGCGAGAGGAGGCTGCGAGCGCGTCAGCGCCGACCCTGCTGCAGCTCAACCTCCCGACGTCGATCGTCCTCACGCACCCTGGCGCGATCGGGACGCTGCAGGCTGCAGAGATCGAGCTCGCTCGCGCGCTCACCTCAAAGGCGCTCGCCACCGCCATGGAGAGGTCCGCAGACGTGGCGAAGAGAGCTGCCGAAACCCGGCTGCAGTCAGCCGCGCCCGCGGAGGTGCCGCCGCGGCGCTGCTCCTCTCGACCTTGTCCCGGACCTGTGAGTCGCGGACCCGTCCCGGACCTCTGTCACACACGTAGGTGCCTTCCCTCACAAAAGCGGTGGCGGAGGCGGTGGCGCACGAGCAGGCAGTCAAGGGTCTCAAGGCTTCCGCGGAGAGCGCCCTCAAGGCGGCCGAGGGGCAGATTGTCGCGGCGATTCCGGCGGCGGAGCCCGCCATGGTTGAGGCGGCCAGCCTCGCTGCCACCGCCCCTGCGGGGGCTCCGTACCAGCTGCTTCACCGTACCCTCCTGCAGCCTGCTGCTCCGCCGCCCGCAGCCTCGCTACACGGTGGCCTCCCGCTCGCGGGCGCCTGGGGTTCCACGGGCGTGTCGGTGCCTGTGTCCGTGGCGGCGCCCCGCCCGGCGCCTGCGCCATCCCCTTGCTATGGCTGGTGCGGAGGTGCTCCGCCGCCGCCGGCGGGTGCGGCGTCCGGCGGCGCGGCCGTCGGACGTGTCGCTACGAGCCCCGCTGCGATGCAGTATCGGCTGGCGACGGCGGAGCTTCTGGCCTTCCCGGCGAGGCTGGTGCGGGCCCACCAGCTCGCGCGGGAGGCCGAGGTGTCGCTCCTACGGGCCGAGGCGGCGGTCTCGACGGGCACGCCCAGCCCCGCGGCGTATGACAAGGTGAGGGCGGCGACGGGTGCGCTGACGGCGGCGGAGCAGGGTGTGACGGACGTGGAGGCGCAGCTGGCGGGCAAGGCCGAGGCGGTCGTGGCGGCTGCCAAGGATGCGTTGCTGCCGATGCCGGAGCTGCCTGCAGCCCCGCCGCTGCCCGCAAAGGGCAGCGTCGACCCGATTGCGGCGCTCGACGCATGCCGCGCTAGGTACGCCGTCGCACTGGTCGGGGCGCAGCTCGCCTCGACGGAGGAGTTGGCGGCGGAAAAGGCGCTGATGGAGGCTGAGGCCAAGGCCGCGGCCTCCGTCTCCCCCTCCCCAGCCATCCTGGCGGTGGTGCAGAAGGCTTCTGAGCGCGAGGCGGCGGCGGGCAAGGCAAGCCTTGCCGCTGAGGCTGCCGTCAAGGCGGCGGAGGAGGCGGTGCTGGCCGCGATGCCTGCGGCCGAGGTGGCGATACAGGCGCTAGCGAGCGCCGCGACGGCCGCTGCCGGACGGATCTGAGACGGTCGGGGGGGTGTGCGGCGGGCGAAGAGAGTCATCAAGACTCTCCACAACCAGAGGCGGCGCGGTGAGAGAGATGGACTATACGCAACCTCCGCTATACAGGTACAGGTCAGCGCCTGAGCTACACACTGCCCCAGAGCGTGCTTTTACCATGGCTCTTTCCTCTTCGATATACACCCCAAAAATAAAAACGAGAAAAAGAAGATCGGGCACGTGCGCGCAGCCTCAGCTCCGCTGAGCCTCAGGGCTCGCTCTGACTCGTACACGTCTAAAGCCGTACGGCTTTAAGAAAGAGTCGCACAGACGACTATCTCACGCTCCAGCCTCCACGGGTGACGTGTCAAACTCCGCACAGGTACATACGTGACACAATCGTACGTCTGATGTGGGAGTGCGAACGACTGCACAAGGGGAAGTCCTGGGGATGCGCGAACGAATCTGGCACGCCGTCCCCACACTCTACAATAAACAAGCGACAACGTTCTCGCTGTGTGGCCTCTTGCGATTCAATCAGGGCGCACCGGAACCGCCCGGCCGGCGGCGAGGGCGAGGAAGTCGTCTGCGGTATCGCACACCTCCTCGAGCTCCCGCTCCACCTTGCCGCCTGGGTACGTCTCGCCGGTCGTCTTTGAGACGTACTCTGCGAAGTTGGCCTTAGCCAGGTAATAGTCGAGCTCCGAAAGGTGGCCCTTCAAGAGCTCAGGCTGCTGCGCAAGCTGCTTTTGCATATCGTCCGGCAGCCGCCCCGAGCCGCCCGCCGCCGCGGCCGCCGCCGCCATCGCCGCCTGCAACGGGAGCAGCACCGACGCTTGCTCGCGCCGCACCCTGTCGGTGAGGCTGGCGTAGTTGTTCACGCCGGGCGTCGGGTCGAGCGGAAGCTTGCGCCGGCTGGCGGCGCCGGCCCGCACGCCGCCCTTGAGCGCCTTGGCCTTGACGATGAGCAGCCTCAGCTCTTCGCTGACGACCGGAGCCGCCGCCGCAGACGCCGGCGGCGGCGGCGGCGTGGTGGCCGCGAGCACCGACAGCGCGGGCAGCACCAGCACGCCACGCCGTGCGAGAGGTGGAGAGGCTGCGACGGGTGAAGGAGATCGAAGCCCGAAGGGTGAGCGGGTTCCGAGAGGCGTTCGTGGCGGGGCTTGAAGCCCGAGCGAAACGGTGGCGGCCAACAGCACATACACACATGCTGTATGCATTGTCGCCAACGTCGTGAAGACCAAGCCTCTCTGACAGTACAGGCTGTTTTCGGCATAAATTTCCTTCGTTTTGACGCGCGCTCACGCCTCTGCGCACCGCGCCTCGGCACCGGCTTTGCTGCCACCGTGTCGAGGACGCCCAGCCCTCGCATGGTTGAAGGTCCCATCAACTCATTCCATCGCCAAGTTGCTCGGCGGCCGCGCAATGCGGAGACCACCGAAAGCACCGCAGATGAGCCGTAAAACATGCCTGCACGTAGCTGCAGACGTGCCCACATTTTCCTCGGTGTCGTATCTGAGGCGGATTGACCTGGATTTTGACTCCACCGCCGCCACGGAGCATGGAAACCACCCTGCCGGCGCCCGTGGACGTCGAACGCTCATGCGCCGAGTCTTCTGTAGCCACAGCAGCAGCTACGGCGGCGCAGACTGGCGGCAGCCTGCACGGCAGTAGTCCAGTATGACTGTGGTGCGGTGCGGCGGTCGACAGCCGGCGGCATCAAATGCGGAGTGATCGCGGGCAATGCGGACTCCACCGTGACGCCACAGAGCCGCGGTGCGAGCCATGTGGCTCTCACTCCTGTGCTGGGTCGCGCGCTGGCCGCGCCGGACGCAGTGCGTTCATCCCGTCAGCCGGTCTTTGAGACCATCGCCAAGAATGCCGATACATGCAAACATGCTAGGCTACTTTTGCCGCTCTCCACTCTCCCACTCTTGTGCGGACTGCGGGCTGCTCGAGCTGCGCAGACGGCGCGCTCTGGCAGACAGAGCAGCGGCCGCCCAGGCGGTCGCTGCTCCGCCTCGTCCAAGTCCGTCCGCCCGCGCGTGCCACTGCCGCCGCCGCCGCCGCCGCTCCACCCGATCCCGTGTGTCGTGAGAGTTGCATTGTGTGTGTGTATGTCGTATGTGTGAGGCGAGAGATTTTTAGCAATATCAGTTGTTTATGTGTGCGTGGACTTAAATGTCACACTTGACGGCCTCTATCTATGATTAGCAGACCGGCGGCTGGTTACTGATTTATTCTTCACTACCCTGAACGCAAGCCAGACACCATCTCGCCGGGGCCATCGGTCTTCTCTCGCAGGCCGAGGATGCCATGCACAACCCACTGGTAGGACGACTTTTGGTACGCCTTGCTCTCATCCTGTTCACACGAGAATGGGTTCAAAATTGCGTGAACACGTCGGGACTTCGGCGATGCCCTCGCCGATGCCCTCGCCTGTCCAGTGTGGATGAGAGGGCGCTGGCAGCGGCAGACGCCCTGCACGTGGCCGAACTTGTCAGAGAGCCGGCTCGAGCTTCGCGCTGCTGGCTGAGGCGGAGCGTCGGTAGGGAGCGGACTGGAGCCGCCGAGATGCCCGACGCTCATACCGCTCTCGATCCAGTGGAGGAAGTCCTGCTGATCCTCAGCAGTCGGCGGCCCGGACTGATCATTCCACGTTTTGCCGTACGTGCCATTCGAGCTCACCAGCTTCGAATTTCTCCTATCGATGCGAGGTCGGTACCTGACCCGCAGGATCGTGTCGGCATGCACTCCGCCCGCGCTGACGACCATGACAGCATAGGGGTTCACATCCATGTCCAGAGTCTTCTCCCTCTGCAGGGGCGGGCCGCGGCCGCCCATGCTGCGCACCATCAGGCCCGAATTGTCATGGGTGGACGTCATCTGCTGGCGAAGCGACCGGTTGTCCAGTGTCGAGATGGGGTTGCCAGAGATAACCCGCACGGTCTTCGCCTCGAGAGTCGCGGTCTACACGATTCAATCGGGCGCGAGGGGTTCGGCAAAATCCAACTTCACAGGATTTCAAGTACGGTCTCGGGAACCGTACCCATACTACTCAAAAGTACAATATACTACCACAAAGCACCACTAGCGATTTCGCGCGGAGGGCGTAGTGAAGCGCTGGGGCGCTCACTGTGTGTTATTCGGGTGGAGATCCATCAGTGGTAACCGGCTTTAGTCACAGATCCAAGCTCAGACGCCACACCAACACCACAAACACGCTCACTTCGCCGCTGCTGTTGGTTGCGGGGTTGGGTTGTTCCGCGTGAGGTTGGTCGTCGGCGCGAAGGGTGAGGTCTCGACCGCCGCCGCTCACGCCAGCGGACGGCCACCATCGGTGTTTTTGGCTTCGCCACCGTCCAAAGCGTGCGCAATGCGCTCGCCGGCATCGAGCGAGCACGCCTGTCCGACGAGCGGCTTGCTGTGCGGACGCCTTCTTGTGGTATGTCTGTTTTCTTTCTTTCTGAGGGCCCAACAACATACCTAAAAACGAGGGATAGGGGAGGAGGACAGGGTCCACACCTGCACGAGCAGGATTTTGGAAGGACGGTCAGGGGGACAGGTGGGGCTCTCCTGCTCCTGACAAGGGACACACACGACAGGCTCGCAGCGCGGTGCACGGTGGAATCCCAACTCCACTGGCGGTCTCATCTCAGTCTATAAATAGAGCAGTCATCTCCAGGGAGAGATGGGCGACGCACACGAACACAGAGGGACTCATCTCAGTCTTAAAGAGCACCTGCGAACAATTTCTCGCCCGCACCTCTCGGCGACGGCCATCCAGCCGCCATAATCAACAGCGAGCAATGGGCCTCTTTGGCAGCGACTCGCCTTCGAAGAAGGAGGAGACGGCGCCGCTCGTGACGCCCGAGAAGGAGGGGCTCCGCCAGCGGAGGAAATCTCCCTTCACAAAGGCCGACGAGGAGAAGAAGGACAAGATTGACCAGCTCGTGCTTGCAGCGTCAGACAAGGTGTCGCCGCAGGTGGCCGAGTGGCTCAAGAAGGCGGCGCCGGCGATCCGAGCCATCTCTCAGGCGCCGCCATCGCCAGGCGCGCTTGGGCGCGTCGGCCGCGCTGATGCATCCATATCGCCGGCGGCCGCAGGCCATCGCAACGATCGCACCATTCTACATCATGGCGGCGAAGAAGCTGTACGAGATCGGCAACAAGCTGCCCTGGGACATTCTGCAGGCCGTCATCGGCCTCGGCCTCTGCTTTTTCGGCGGCGGTTATTGCGCCTCGATTGCCGCCGTCGAGGCGCGGCGCGGAGCAGAGCCCTCGGATCTCTCCGCCCCTCCCTCCATCGCACGCCCTGCTTTTCACACCGATACCCTCGCCGCCCGAGGCGTTCGCGCTGACCGGCTGGCCCACCACACGGCAAGCGCTGATCGACGTCTACGAGGAGGCCGCCAACGTGCTCGACGCAAACGAGGAGGACGACAAGAAGGACGAGGACAAGAACGGCGTCCGCGACATCGACGAGGCGAAGACACGAGACACGTCACACGAGACTCGTCCCAGACGCCTCACAGACGCGCCGCCGCCGACCTGCCACAGCCGCGACCCCCCCCTCCACCTTCCTGCTCTACCTTCCCTGGCCTCTGCCGACATCCGCTTGCGTTGGGGTCGGCGCAGAACTGAGAGTCTTGTATTGATGTCGAGGTGTGTCTCGTCGCGCTGCCCGG